ACGCGTAATGGTTTTACACGGTGGAGCGGTCGGTCATTACCTTTCACGGATCGCTATTTAATAAAAGAAGCATGAGTAACGGTGATGTTGATCCGCCATTTCTCGCAGAACCAGTTGCCACACCATTAAGAATCAAGCGATGATATTCCCTTTTATCAATGTCCCGCTTTATTAAACGGTTAATTAATTAATTAATAAATGGAAGATCGGGTTAATGGCGAACAAGCGTAGCGAGAGCCTTCTTCTCGAAATTTATCGGTGCATTTATTCGTTCTAAAACGTGGAATATATATATATATATACGATCTGTTTTGTATGAGCACAGTGGCGATGGTTTATAAAAGATGACATGTAATGAAGAAGAAATTTTTTAGTAATTTGAATGTGTAGTTCTCTGAAAAGTTACTTTAATATTTTGATTTATACACGTTCGAAATGTTGGAACGAAGGATATTCGATGAAGTGATAGTATTTGAGATGATTATTTTTAATAAATATTCGAGGCTGTAATAGGAAAAAAATATCATCACAATGTATTACTTGTATCTTTTATTTGTAAGATATAATGTGTCACAATTTCCGTTTTCTTTTATCAAATCTAAAGTGAAGAAATAACGAAGCATTTGGTATTATCATTTCAAATAAATCATTATCTGCGTTTTAAGTAGTGAAAACAATAATTCAAAATTCAAACTTATTATTAAGCTATTTCTTATTTCAATTCCAAATAAAATTTGCCTAGAATGATGATAGTATCCAAGTTTTGTTTATTTCTTTTTATACAAATTATATATAATATCATGAAATATAATGAATAAATTAAAAATAGATTAAATCTAATTTTTGAAATTAGGATTAATAATCTCATCTTTAGTCGATTTTCTCCCAATTAATATAAGAAAAACGATAATTTTAAAATCCATTTAAAATTATTTTAAAATAGAGTTATATCATTTAACAAAAAAGAAATTATTTTAAAAATTCTCTTATATTTTCATATATCTATCAATTAAATATTCTTATTAACGTTTCAAATACTTTCTATCCATACCAAATTTTTACTTTCAATAAACACAGCTATAATTTTAGATTGTACTTAAAGTGTCACATTTTATCATTGTTATCAACTCTTGTAAATCAAGCTTGTTGAATGAACATGTACATGTACATAAATACACAAATTAAATCATAGCGGAATACTAATTTTTCTTTGATAACTCGAATATATATACACGTTTGTACATATGTTGAATTTGATGGATTCTCTCACGTGTTTACCTATTACGCAAAACAAGAAAAAAACTTTATTCCCGCGGTTACGTTATTGTTTGCGCGTCTTCGATTTCAGGAGAGAAATTTCCACCATTGCTGAAATATTCGACCAGGGAACAGGGTCAGTGAATTTCACACGAACCTCTTTTCTTTGTATTCATTTATTTTTCTTTATCGAGTCGTACACGTGCAACGCCGTGTATCTGGACGGCTTTTGCCGTCATTAAAAATGCGTAAAATATTCCGCGGGGACTTTATTGTCATCAGACGGCATTGAATAGTGTGAATACTATCACTGTTCCACATATAATAAATATAAATATCTCTATATTTAATCATTGTCGCTCATTTGTTGCGAAGTATATATATTTCTCGGATTAAGGTATAATCATGAAATAAAATGAATGATTTATCTATTAAAATTATTTTCCAATTATTAATTTAACTTATACCTAAAATAAAATCAACACGAAAGTAAAAGTAATCTTGGGAGTCATT